AGAGCAGGCCAAGGTCACGGAGGTCACCGAGAAGCTGATCGAGGAGAGCAAAAAACTTCTCAAAGTCCAATCTGAGATGGAGCTCCAGGTGAGCGCCCTCACCCAGGAGAAGGAGGAGCTCCAGAGGAGACTGGCAAGAGAAGAAGACAAGCGTCAGGAGCTTCACCTCCAGCTGAGCAGGATGGGGCGGGGGTCTGAGGAGGAGCTGCAGAGAAACAAGGAGGTCCACGGGAGTCCCCAGGAGGAGCGGAAGGTGGAGGAGCTGACTCTGGAAGTAGAAAGACTCAAGTCCAGACTCAAACAGCTGGAGGTGGTGGAGGGAGACCTGATGGAGACCGAGGACCGGTACGACCTGCTGGAGAAACGGTTTCTGACGGAGCAGGACAAAGCGAACGCTCTGGCCGAGCTCCTGGAGGAGGTGAAGAGTCAGGTGGCTCGGAACAAAGGTGAGACGTTCGGTCCCGAGGCCGAGCTGAGACAACGCTGTCAGAGGGAAGAAGCCAAAACCAGGGAGCTGCAGACCGACGTCCAGGCTCTGAAGGAGAAGATCCACGAGCTGATGACCAAGGAGGACCAGCTGTCCCAGCTGCAGGTGGACCACGCCGTCCTGCAGCAGAGGTTGATGCAGGAGGACCAGGTGAAGAACCACATGAGTCAGGAGGTGCAGAGTCTGACCAGGGAGCTGGAGGCCACCAAGTGCTACAGCCGCGCCCGGAGGCCCAGCAGCAGTGGTCGGAGGATGGTGGACGTCCCGGTGGCCTCCAGGGCGGTGCAGACCGACGCCGTCCCAGAGAATCGGACTGAGGAGGAGGAGACCACAGCGGGCTTCATCCACAAATCAGTTCTGGAGGAAAACGACTTGATGAGCAACCTCCGACAGCGGGGTCCGAGGATCCCCAAAGTTCTGGAACGGTTCCCCCCCGCGGCTGCAGACCTGGCGGCCCGAAACTCCTGGGTTCCTTGGATGAGAACGAAGGAGGCGCTGGTCCCGGACCGGACCTCCTCCACCTCCAGCAGGACGTGGTCTTCCTCTCCACAGAAGCCCGGCCGCCCTCTTCACATCCGTGTCACCCCGGGTCCTGAGAACACTCGTGCCACCCTGGAGATCTCCGGTCCTGGAGCTGAGGACTTCTTCTCCAGCACCACCATCGTCCCCACTCTGGGGCTCCAGAAACCTCGCATCACCATCGTCCCTAAGACCACCGCCGCCGCCACCGCGGCGTCCAAAACCCAAACCTGTGACGCCGCAGGAAGCCCGCGCAGAGCCAAGTCTCCGGTTACCATAACAACCGTCTCCAGGACCAGGAGTCCAGAGAGCTGCGGTGGCCCTGGTTCTGCCGGTGTCCGGTCTCCAGTCTCCATCATCACCGTCAGCGCCGCACCTGTGGCCGACGCCTGCGCATCGCCTGAGCCTCACGACAGGACCGGCCCAGAGAAGACACCTGGACCTCCGGCGTCTCAGAGGTTCTGCTCCAACAGCAGCAACATCATCACCACCGAGGACAACAGGATCCACATCCACCTGGGCCCGCGCTTCAAAGGCTCCTCCGACGGACGCCGCGGCTCCGTGGTCACCATCAAACCGGGAACCCTGCCGCGGTCCCCGCCCCAGACCTCCGCAGGAACCCTGCCGCGGTCCCCGCCCCAGACCTCCGCAGGCCCGCGACC